AGAGTGATGATAATGATGATATGATCTAAACTTCTCTTTGTATTTAAACAGGGTGGCTCCTTCCGCTTTAAGCTTGTGGGATTTCCTGCTTTATATGTTTATGTGCTCTCCCACTGGTTGTGTTTGTCAAGCATCTGCCCTTTACCAAGCCTTGGCTAGCTGTTCCCTTTGCCTTTCCTAATGCTGTGTTTTGATCCATTCCAGGTCTTCTGGTTGGTTTAAGTGGGGAGGGCAGGCAGCTAAGTGGGAAAATGCTGTAGCTGTCTCCCCCAGAAATTTGTGTTCTCTGCCACTGTCTGGACTGAGGGAGTGGGTCAGTGTTACTGGTGAAGGAGACAGTTAGCTGGAAAGTATGAGCACTCCCAGTAACTATGCAGGCATACCTCTTTAATGTTGTTCAGAAAGAATGCATTGATTGCAAAACTGGGAATGATTTTGCAGTAGTAGAATTCTGTAGCAGGGTTTGTGTCTTGGGGAAAAAAAAACCTACCACGGAGTTCAAGATTTTATGAGAAACAATTTAATAGACATGAAAAATACCTAAAGAAAATTCTAACTTTGCTTTAGCATACTTATGTACTGGCTACTACGCAGCACACCAGGTTAGTAATTTTCTTATGCTAACTCCTGTCCCAGAATCCCTTTATTAAATAATTTACTTAGCAGGTATGTGACTTAATAAAGCACAAGCCTAGCAACCTTAACAAACGTTTTTGTTTAGGCAGATGCAGGGTGGGTGTCAGAATTTATTCATTTGGTATATTTTGAAACAGCATAATTTCTGAACATTGATTCTGCTTAAGATGACTGTAAGATTTTTGTGTCATTGACACAAAGATTTCATCTGTGAAAACCAAAATTCAGAGAATTCTTATCTGTTCAGAGCCAGCACTGGCTGAGCTAAGACATTAATGCTCCAGGATATGGAATTTGTGGAAAAACGTTAAACTTAATTTTTTTGATTGCTCCAGCAGTGAATAAAAATACAAAAAGAAAGAGATGAACTCAAAAATTTTCTTGACAGTGTTTTTCGTCATCTGCAAAGAAAAATGATTCACCTACAAATGTTAAGTCTTGTGCTTCCTCAACTGGTATTATGGTAAACAGTGGTATTTCCTGAAATATGATGCTTCATGTTCACTTATTTCCTAACTTCTAAAAAGCAACTCCAGCAGGCACTTTATGATCTGGAGTGACATATTTCCTTAGTGCAATATACTAGGAACTGAAAGAAGCAAATATGCCTGCTGGTGATCAGTTGCATTGAATGTTGTTTGTACAGTAAATATAACATTTTGGGTCTTTAAGAACATATTCCAAGGAAGACAAATTCTTAATATTTGAGAGAGAGACATTTTTGTGAATTTTTTGACCTTCTGTTTGCTATCCTACATCTATACAGTGAAGTGAACTTAAGCTTATGTTTGCAAAGCTTTACTTAGTCAGCAATTTTAAAAGGGGGTTTCAGGGGTGGGTGTAACCTGCCAGCAGTGTGACTGCAGTAATTTCACATAGCTCCTTTAACTGAAAAGACTTTTAAACCTTACACAATATCTCTTAATAATACCATAATGCAATATTTTAATTCTTCTCTCTTACTGTTTAAAAATGTATGCAGATTTTTAATGAGAAATATATTTAGTCTATATTTAACTTTGTAGACATTTTATAGAATTCACAAGATCCTTGCTTAAATTATTAATTTAAATAAAAAACACCAAACCACGTTTTTACAGCATTTTGAAGATTCAGAGGACAATGGAGGCATTTCGTATGTTAGCCATATCACTGATCCTTACTATGTAACATTTAAAAACAGTTCAAATAACTTACACTTTTCTTTGTCATTAATTAAATAGCCTGTCTTAGCCTACTTTTCATGAATGGCTGCATCCCATTGTGTCATACCCTAGGTGCAGGACAGTGCAGACACAGGCTGGCGCTGCACAGACAAAGAAGTGAAAAATGCGTAGTAAATAACTAGAGCACATAATCCTGATTCCAAATAGTTACCACTTAACATACAGCATGTGAGATTTCAGTGGAAGTGACTTTGATTTGTGCTTGCATTTCTGACTCCTCATAGTTTGTTCAGTAGTTAGAAATTTCTTCATTTCAGTATCATGAGTAATTCAGGATATACAAGGTTCATATTAGCGTTTATGTTTGTAGCAAACCTGCAGATGGTTCTTTTGATTATGTAAGTCTCTTTTCCAGCAGATCTTGTGCATGGATTGCTTCCATTCCATGGCATTTTGTCCTGTGAGTTCAAGGATAAGACTGATCATTTGTCTGCTTATCCTAGACAACCATTTTCTTTCTTTCTTTTTTCTTAGTTTCTTAGCTGATGTTAACAGTAATGAATGCCTTTCAATCATTCTCCTGTTTCCAGTGTGGAGAATGGGGTAGATAGAGAGGTCTGGAATAGAATCCGGGTGTTCAAGTTTCTTTTTTGATACTTAATGTAGGCCTGAAAAGTCAAGCCAACAACTATATGATAACACAGAGGAAAACAGCATTTTAAATATAAACCTCCTACATGCCAATATATTTGCTTTCAGCTGGTAAATTCTTTTGTTTATTCTAAGAATAAAGAGAGAATGGTGAATTGTGTTCTCCTGTGCTTAGAATATCTGCATGTGACTGCTGCAAGAACTAATCAATACCATTAATTCAGTGTTATACAAATATCCCTTGTAATATTTGTGTGCAAGAAAATTATACAGGTGGGGTAATAAGAGGGTAAGGAAAGAAACTGGGGAAATCAGTGCCAAAAGCAAGAAGGGAAGGGGCTTATTTCAGCGACCGATATATCTTGTCTCCTTTC